TTGGAATGTTTAAAGATGTCCTGGAGGTTCCTAAGCCTCTCCTCCTTTTTTGAATTTTTGTTTCTTCATTCTTTTCTGTTTGGTCATTTTTTTCCTCCTTCTGGTCCACTCCCTTGATTTGAGTCCCAGATTCCTTTCCATTGCTATTGGTTTCCTGTGTATTTCCCTTCATTTTAATTAGTTTAGCCTTAATTTGTTCTTCTAATTTGTGACTAAAATCAACCAGTTCTGTGAGCATCCTGATCATCAGTGTTTTGAACTGTGCATCTGAATGTTTGGCTATTTCTTCATCACTTAGATTTATCGGCTCTGGCACTCTGAGTTGTTCCTGAGCCATGTTTTGATCTGTTTGTTACTGTTATGTATGAGGAGCAGTACCTTAGTTGTTCCCCAGGGTGGGGCCACCCAGGTTGCTGGTTTGTGATGCTGTATGTGGGGGCAGGGTCAGAGAGGGACAATGGCAATTCCCTCTTCAGATTCTGGCCACTGGGGCCTTCGTGGTCCGTCTCACTGCTAGCTCCTTCCCCAGTTTATCTGCACCTGAATATGTGACCGCGATCAGCCCTCAATGGGTCCACTGCCTTGCGCCCTCAGTGGGTCCAACGCCTTGCACCCTCAGTGAGTCTGCCCACTTCTCCACACCTGGGATCCACCCACGGCTTCTGGTGTGCCTGGGTGGGTCCGGTGGATCTTTCCTGCTTGACTTCGCTCTGCTGCTGGCTCTGCCCCTCTTACCAGTTTGGCTGAAGGGTTCATTGTTGTCAGACTTCCGTGTAGTTCAATTTTCTGTGGTTTGGCTGCATTTTTGTTGCTAAAACTTTATTGTTTTTAAACTTGGTTGTGCGAGAAGATGTATTGCTTCCACCTATGCCTCCATCTTGCTGGAAGTCCTCTAGAATTACTGCTCTTTATTGAGGGCTTTGTCACTACTCATGTCCATTAAATTTCCTTTCCCTCACTACTATGTGTATTTTGAGATTTATTTTGTGTCTTTTTTATTGGTGGTAGTGGTGGTTTTCTCTGATTCAGATTTTTCCATTGTTGCTCTTTTGTGGATTGTGCTGTCTGGAAATTTCCTGTGTTTCTCACTTTGCTTTTGCTTTCTTCCAAAAATTTGACAAAAAGATTATTTTAAGTAATGTGAGAAAATTTTGAGAATTCATTGCATTGCATTTAGTTATGCATAAACCTTTAGATTAGCTCGGTTAATTTCAACAATATGTGCAAGGAGAAATTAAAATAGATTCACTCCAAGAGAGGAATGTCAACTATATTTTTTGTACACAAGACCTTTAATCACATCCCCTTTCTCATATGTGAATTTATATTGCAGTTAAAATAAAATAAACGTTAAAGCATCCATCTCACAGACTTTTATGTACTAGTAGTAAAAAATGAATGGTTTCAAATGCTTTAACTAGAAGTTAGCAGAAAATACAAAGAATAAATTAAACCAGGGGTAGGTAAACCACAGCTTGAAGGCCAGCCAGATATGGCCCCAGACTGGTTATGATGGCCTGTAGGTTGAGAATGGCTTTAAAAATATTTTTTTAAGTAATTAGACAAATTCTAAAGAAGAATAATATTTTGTAAATACATATAAAATTGTATTCTAGTGTCTATGCCCATAAATAATGTTTCACTAAAATATAGTCAAGCTCATTATTTGAGGTATTACTTCTGGCTACTTTTATACAACAGCACAGTACTATATGGCCTGCAAGCTGGATACATATCTCACCTGAGCCTTTATAGAAAGAAAAGTTAGCTGACACCTTGGCTAAACTGTAGATAGTATCTATGGTACCTCATATTCAGCCTTGTAAAAATCATCAAAAACTTTATTTGATTTTCCCCAATAACTGATATATTTCTTGATAATATTAGGTGGGATAATGACCCCAGGAAAGCAAATTCGGTCTATTCAAATTAATTTCCTTTTCGAGAAGTACTTGGTGGAAGTGGGGAGGTCTGTAAATTCATACACATTTGTAAATGATGATTTATTTGTTCTATGAACAATTAAATTTAAGAAACCTTTTTGTTTGTTTTGAATAATTATCTACTGATAATTATTCAAAGTGTGACATTTGTCATTCATAAAAGTACAGATAGTCATGCACAAAACCTTTTATTTCAGAAAAGAGTATCTCTGCTTATGTTCCCCCCAAAGCACTGAATTCCTGTGACTGTCTTTTGTTTATCTTTTCTTGTGTGTGGAGCAACTGGGTAGATTCTAACCGCTGCCCAACTTCGAGCAAGGGTCACCCAGACCAACTGTGAATGGTCTAAGCTTTCCTAAAAGAAAGGAGAGCAGCATTTTTGAAATATAAACACGACATGATTCCTTAAATAAATGTTCTTATTTTTCACCTGTTTTTTCCCCCTATTTGCTATTACCTGAGTTCTCTTTCACACTTCCTCTACATCTTCTCGAACACTCATTCTAGTGGCTCTTCTAACTGTGTCCTGCATTTATGTTGCTGCATTTCACTTGGTTTTCCTTGATTGTGCCCTGTTTGCCTGGGCCCCTGGTTACAATCAGTGATATCACTTGAGCATGGCAGGTGTTGGTCTGTGTGATGCAATAAAGCGGTCTCTGTTTCTTCTATTCTTTTATCTCTCTGGTTTCCCACCCTCCATTCTTAGGAATCAGGATATCCCTTCAACACAGGGACAGATGGTACCCCTACAAGAGAGCACTGGATTCTTGAGGCTGAGTGGCAAGAAACAACAAAAAAGGAAAAAAGAAAAAAAAAGGCACGAAGAGAAAGTGAGATCTATCAAAAGCAGGCCTTCCCTATTTTCCAGTTTGCCTTCAGAGGATCCTGTTCCCAGCTTCTGTGCATTTCTTTAGAATTGCTTGTATTCATTTTTCATGTAGAAGAGGGGACATTTGTGGCATTGTAGGCACAGTGGTTAGTGCCATGCAACTCACAGATCATCACAGTTACCGTTACAGTTATTTATGTGATGGGTACATTGTCCCCATTTTACAGATGAGCAAACTGGGCCTCAGTCTGTTAACAACTTGCCCACAGCCACAAACAGGGAGTGGGAGAGCTGGATCCAAAGCCAGGGACAGCTGTCTGATGGCAGCTGATAAGGTCCCAGCACACAGGTTTGTCCTTCAGATTCTTCATTCCATAAAGGAGCTGATTGAACATGGACTCTAGGAGATTAGGGAAATTGTTACTGGCACATCCTCATTCTATAGGGAAAATTGCTTGCAGAAGTTAAGAGTCAGATGAGGAGAGATTACAGAGATGTGGTTTTCAGTGAACTTTTTTAACTTCTCTGTTTAATGGAGAGGTCAACAGGCTAGAAGTCATGGGAAAAGACTTGCTGAACCAGGTGAATATATATACTGTCCAACAATTATTAGAGTCTGCTATAATATGAACAATAAAATAATCAAAGCTGGAGGAATGCTTTAAATACCCAAATGAATATACTAATTTAATTATTCAGAAATTAGCTCTTTAAATCTCTTCAAATTATGATTTTTTCTTAAACTATTTTATGCTATGACTTAGAATGCAATTTGTAGGCTTTTAAGAATTTACTTTTTATTTTTATTTTTTTACGATTTTATTTATTTTTAGACAGAGGGGAAGGGAAGGAGAAAGAGAGAGGGAAACATCAATGTGCTGGCCCGCAACCCAGGCATGTGCCCTGACCTGAGAATAAAACCTGAGACCCCTTGGTTCATAGGCTGGCACTCAATCAATCCACTGAACCACACTAGCTGGAGCTAGAATTTACTTTTTTAAAGTCTGTGATTATAACTTTTTAAGGTCTGACTCTATTTTTCTATTATCTCCCTATAATTCAGATAATTTCCATATGCTGCTTTAACTCTAAAATGTATGACAAACCTTCAGGATGACTCACTGTAACCTTGCTAATAAGAGTTGTCCTCACTAAGCCCAGTCAGTTGACCTTATTGTGTAGTTAATTCCCATGTTGCCCATGTGCTGGTGCAACCATGTTTTCCTCTTCATTTTCTGCTCTAGGCCTTTCCCTAACATAGTCTCTCTGCATTAAAGCCATACTTGAGTCCCACCGCCAATAAGAAGGGCATAGGTATTTTTCTCCACTTCTTCACTCCCTGGGAGACTCTTCATGCCTTCTCTATGAGTTCAATGCCTATCTCTCTGTCAATAAAGCCCTGCCAGCTGCTGCCTCATTCATATGCCCTCAGCAGATTTCCACCTGCTTTGTTTCCCTAACACTTCACTGGGGCTTTATCATGAGGTGCCTTATGTTAATGTAAATCCTAAACACACTTGTTTATTTGTGTTAATTGGAGACTCTTTGAGATTAAAAATCATGGCAAGTTTATATCCCTCATACAGTAGTTATCTCCGATGTACCTTTGATGAATTGATTTGAATGTCTCTGAAGTAGCAACCATCAAAACTATTAAACATATTCAACATTCCAAAGGAACAAATCTGAAGTTAAACATATTAAATAAATTACAAACTCTTCTCAATAACAGGTTATAGCAGCAATCCAAAAACTGGCATGTGATGGAGATACCTTGGCAAGACCCTTTATCTCTTTGAACCTTCATTTCCACTTAAATTTTTTAAAAAATGGATGCCTTGTCTACTCCTTTGGGTTTTTATGCAGATGACAGGAGGTGGTACACCAGATAATGTGTGGGGAATCATGATACTGCTTCAAATATAAAGTTGCATTGTCCTATTTAAGAAAACAATTGAAATTTAGACACAAACTGCACCATATATTGCATGCCTACAGCAATCTACTTCTGATTTAAATTTAAATTTGTACTTGAATGTACTTTGTGAATAGTTTTAAGGGGATTGTCAGACTTTTGTACCATAATCTGTAAATCCAGTTTTATAGCCAATTATGTTGACCTGGGAGATTTTGAAATAGAACCTATTGGTTATGTCAAAGAGAACATATTTGTCTTCTCCATAATTCCTGCGTGAACCAAATTTTGTGTTTTTATTTTTTCTGAACAGGTTTCCATCTCTATCACAAGTTGCCCACAATTGTGCCTGAGAGCTGTCTTCTCATAATGGTTGGACTTCTACTAGGTGGGATTATTTTTGGAGTTGATGAAAAGTCTCCCCCTGCGATGAAGACAGATGTATTTTTCTTGTACCTCCTCCCACCCATTGTACTTGATGCAGGTTATTTCATGCCTACTCGCCCATTCTTTGAGAACATCGGCACCATTTTCTGGTATGCTGTGGTTGGGACACTTTGGAATTCCATCGGTATTGGGGTGTCCTTATTTGGTATCTGTCAGATTGAAGCCTTTGGCCTGAGTGACATCACTTTGCTCCAGAACCTGCTCTTTGGCAGCTTAATCTCAGCAGTGGACCCTGTGGCTGTGCTTGCTGTCTTCGAGAACATTCACGTCAACGAGCAACTCTACATCTTGGTCTTTGGAGAGTCCTTGCTGAATGATGCAGTGACAGTGGTGAGTAATGTGTTCACCCTGCACCTCTTCAACATGTGGGGGCTGCCCCCAGACCTACATCTGCTTTCTGACAGGAACAGCCCTGTGCTAGAAGGGCCCTTCATTGAGTTCAATGCTCTGTTATCTCTGTCTTGAAATTCGTAGTAAAATTTTAATTTATTGCTTTAATATTTACTTATTATTATACATCGGGGCCCTCATTTTCATTTTGCACTGGGTCATGCAAACTATGTTGTTGATCCTTGCTTGGGAGAGAAGCATAACAGTGATTGTGACTTTGTATCACTGAGATTTCTTAATTTAGCCTTTTCAAAAGTGATAGTGTTTGATCAGAATTTAAGGAACTTTGGGTCCCAAAAGTCTTTGTAAGAAGCAATGATGTTAGTATATGATGCACATAATACAAGTGAAAAGATAACACATATTAAGTGCCATTCTCTCTTTGGGGATGGTTTCTTTATTTTATGATTGTAGCAAAAGTTTTCATCACAGAACTTAACTTTTTATTGCTACTCAGCCAGCATATTTCTGGTATCCACCATTTTTCCATAAGTGGGTATTAATTAAAAATGCAAATTATTTTTAATTTATATTAATTGACTCAAAATTGGAGTCAGAGGCTGTTATGATCACAATGGTAGCAGAATTTACCCCCACCCTGTCTTCTGAGCACAGGCCTACAAAGAGCTCCCCACCAGTTATACTCACTCAGGTGACGCTGCATTGGGTACCCAGTTAGTGAGCAAGGGTGGTGCTGTTTTATGGAGGTTACAATTCTGCAGTAGCAATGGTGATACTGATGATACCATTAGCCTTTTGTGAATGTTTGCCTTGTGCTCAGGTCTTTTTGACAATCTATGAAATACATCTTCTTCCCATTTTGCAAATAAGAAAATTGATTAAATTGAGAGAAAGTTTATTAAGTAAAGTGTATTTAAGTACTTTAGGTAATTTATATTATCCCTTCCATTAATTTCTGTTATTAAGATGCTATCCCTGATTCATTTAAAAGTTAACATAGAAATCAACCATTATCCTCTGTTAGCCTATGTTCAGCCCCCTGAACTGAATATAATATCTTCTTGAAGAGTGTCCATTAACTCCATGTAAATATTATTTTGTAGAAAATAACTTATTAATAAGGAATTCCCACTTTTTTAGAATAGCTGTTATGACAGTGTTAAGACAGCTGAGTTAACTTGAGTAACAAAATCTACCTCATTTATTTTATTATTAATGAACACTGATTAGTCCTTAACTCACCAATCTTAAATTTGAACTGGAAAACTGCCATAATAAGGAAGACATTTTATAACTTTTTCTAATTTATTAATGCATCAAGTTTTATGTTTGAATTGTGTTTGGCAAATACCCTTGTTCAGGGGGACTGTGGAAAGTTCAATATGGCATTCTTAGATCTATTTACTGTGAAGGAAACTTTACAAAAAAATCATCACACTTTGCTGCTTCCTTCTAGAACAGTGTAGCAAAATCAGGTCAGTTTCAGAATGATAAACCATGGCCTTACACTGCTTTCTCTTCTCTTCTCATTTAAAAGATTTCTCATTTAAATGCCTCAGTGGCCATTCTTTGAGTTTGTACAGAATTACATCTTAGGAAACCATCTTGCTAAGCTACTGTTTAAAGTGTGTGCAGGCTCTAGGCCTTCCAGAAGCACATCCTGTGCTTCAGATCAAGAGGTACAAAGCCATCAGATGAGGTTCTCTGGAGAAAGGGGGAGGACTGACCCAGAGAGGGCCATGGGCCAAATTGAGGGCCTGCCATTCCAATACAGGCAGGAAGGCAAAGGCAGAAAAAGGGCATAGCTGCTCTTTGGGTGTGGAAGCTCTTGTTACAAGGCCAATGACTATAAGTCATAATGACTGTATGATTTTTCATGAAAGAGCCTTCCTTGGTAGGTTATATACTCTGGGTTGACCCTTAAATCCACACCCACAAGATAAAAGGACATGCCCAGTGGTTTGCCTACCTAATGCTAAAGAATAAACCACCAAATATTTCTTTCCCTAAACAGATCCAATAGTGGATTGAATTGACCAGGTGTTAGAAATAATTAGAAAAATGGTATAAAAATTATAATTTTGCCTCTGAGACAGGAACCCTCAAAGAATAGAGTAGGCATGTTTTATGGAAGATTTGTTTACTTATTCATCTAGTCTCACCTCTAGGAGAGGTTTAAGGAACTTATAAAATAGAGAAAGGTATAAAAAAGATGGACCATGTGGCATACAGTGAAAATGATGAGTAACTATGAGTTGCAACCAGAAGGGTGGAGATTAACAGAGAGAATTAATGTAGTCTAGGTGGCGAGTGAAATTGTATAGCAGCACAATTAACTCCTTTCCTAACTCATGGTAAATTAAATATAGAGCTAGAAGAGTTGAAGGGTAGAAAATCTACCTTAAAATGTCTCAAAGCAAAGAGAAATTGAGGATATATGACCGCAGTCAAACTCTTTGTGTTACTTTCCAGGGTAATAGTAGTTTAGAATTAAGGAGAAAAATGACATTCAAAAACAAATAAATAAAGGTGCCCTGGCTAGTGTGGCCCAATGGGTTGAGTACCAGCCTGTGAACCAAAGGGTCGCTGGTTTGATTTTTAATCAGGTCACGTGCCTAGTCGGCAGGCCGACAGGCAACCCATCAATGTTTCTCTCACACATTGAAGTTTCTCTGCCTCTCCTTCCTTCCCCCTTCCACTCTCTCTAAAAAAAATAAATAAATAAAATCTAAAAAAAATAACAGTGAGCTTCTTAAAAAGGATTTTTGTGTTCTCCCTTATACTTATTTTAGGAAAACATTTAACATTTCTCTTATTAAGCAGAGGTTGTTGAGGTTTTTAGTTATTTGAGAAGTCCTGCTATTTCAAGAGTATTTCATAATCAAATGACATATGCTTATATGGTAATTTCCGACATCATTTCTATAACATGTTAATACAACCATTGAATATTCTAATACATTTTCCAAGAAGACTTAAAGTTTCTTCAATCTACCACAACTAAGCTTGGGTAAGGGAAGCTGGCTCTTTGGAAAGAGGTGAGGGATGCACTCATGGCCAGTCACTATGCACTGTGCAGTGGGACTTCAGAGAGTTGGGGGATAAACAGTGACCACTTGGCACTTTCTTTTGCTTTTGCAAATAGCTGAATAGATTCAAAATTCCTCACCCCAAAATGATTATTCTTTGTGTTTCACATCAGAAAAAGTGACCTAAAAGCTATTATTCTGGAGCAGAAACATTCTGATAAAAATCTTTGAATTGTTTACATATTTGCATTATGGTTTTGCTGAATTATTGAACATTTTAAATCTGAATTTGAAATAGATAATATCTAACTTTAGTATCTATATGTGTTTTAAAAATATAATAATAAGTAGAAATTTTTGAAAGTATGCAACTATCAAATTAACCCATTACAAAAGTTAGCAAATAGACATCACTGGCATTTTAGTCTTCTAAAAATACAGGTCTCAACTGAGGTCTACTTTGTACGGACAAACTCGAGACATAACTATAGTCCACATGCATATACATTTACAGGTATATATTATAACTCCAAAAACATTTTTCTGTATAGTATGCCTTGTGGTGAAATTAAAAGATTTAACTCGAGTAAAGGGAGCTGTGGCCAGTTGTAATAAGAACTTGATCTTTTTCTGACCACTAGGTATCTAGTTCAGTGTCAAACAGGTGGAAGGATATGGAAAGCTTTCTGGTTGTCAAGGGAATGTCTCTACCTAAGATATTTCCTTGTAACATTGCCCTGGAAGCTGAAGCAGTAGAATGAACAAACTGGAGCTTCTGACTAGTGTTTCTAGAGTGAAGTTCCTGCACCTTGGCTCTGCTCTTTGCAAAACCTACAGGACTATGAAAAACAGAATATACCATGGATAGATTTGTTGGATTGAGCTGCCAGGAATGTGGCTCTGGAGAGAGTATGACCATATGCCAGTCACCAATCAGCTGGATGGGGTGGGATAAGGAGATGAGAGATAGGAGAAGGAGACATGGGTTATGTGCAAAAAGAATTTCTAATTTTGTTGGAAAATGAGGTAGGCACTCAAGAATCCCTGACAACATAAGATGGCATATTAGCAGACACTGAATGGATTGGGAGGTCTTCATGTAGCCAAGGGACAGGGGAAAGGGTGAGTTGCAAGAGCTGTAGGAGTCCATCCAGGCTCTTGAGAGGAAGAGAAGCTTCAGCTGGGCCATGAAAGACAGATAAAGGCTCCCTAGATTTAGGGGCTGGATTTCTACCAAGAGAAACCACAAGAAGGGAACCGGTGATGAATAAGCATGGCATATTTTGTGGAATGCTGATGAGACCCTCTCCCAGACTTAAAGGGTGTTGGAAAGCAATTTTTTTAAAAAAGTGTGTCAGGTGTGTGAAGCCTTCCAAAATTAGGTAGTCAAAGAATTTAAACTTGAGAGTGGAAAATGGAATTTAGAGGAAATGAGTCTTGTGGTAGCTGGAGGGGCATTAGAGAACAGAGATCTGTGATTTACGGGTGAGGTGGGAGACAGGGAGGGGACAGAATTGCAGTGCCCAAGTGGCCAGATATCTGTCTGGATCCTCAGGCAGCAGATGACCATCACCTTCTGGCCTTTGCTACTTGGAGGGAAGGGGTATAAATAGTACATCTCTGATCCTCTCTCAGGAAGCAATTGTGGCTTGTTGATGCTGATGAAATCTGATGTGCACAGAAGGCCTTTGGTTAAAGTAGAAAGTGGCTGCTACTTGAAGCCAGTTTCTTTTCTGGCAAATGATGATACATACCTTTAAGATATTTAAGTCCTCAGGGGAGTAAGTTACTTTTTTCTTCTCTTATTCAAGTCATTTCTTGGTAGTACTATACCAAATGCTTTGAGTGTTACACTAACAATTGGGAAAAAAGAAAAGCTCACTGCTTTCTATTAATCCAGTTTTTTTCCCAAAACTAACAGACATTTATTGCCCTCTACTAGACAACATGGAACAAATAAATCATAACAAGTTGTGATGTTTGAGTACAAGGAGTTTATGATCCAGTAGAAAAGAGTAAAAAAATACCCCACAAAGCCTGCAATGTGGTAGCTATAAAGGATCATTGGTGAGGTAGGAAAAATGAAATGGATTTTCTCCAGGACATACTCTGGTTAGCAGAGAGATTCTGACTCACTCTCCCATGGGTGAAACATGAAAGACTTACCCAATAAGTCAGGAGCCCTCAGTTCTGGTATTGCACCTGGTATTTTGTGTGACTGTGGGTGAATAGGTTCAATTTTGAGTTTTTCACAACCCAAGTAAAAAGGTAGCATGGCCTATACTCTAAAAGGCCTGTGTCCCCAGTGTCTTGTCAGCAAGTTTCTGTGAAGATTCTGGCTGTAAATATCAATGCAAAATAAGTCGGGCACCTACTTGGCTTGTTTTTTACTTTCTGTTTTGTGGAAGAAGTGGTAGGGTGCAAGCCATCACTTTACATTTCAGTTGGCTTAGTGGCCCTCAGAAATGTGTTTGAAAGAATTTTACACAGCAGACATGAAGTGCCTAACATTTTGAAACTTTAATTAAAGTAAAACTATGTAAAGACTAGAATTTTGAGAAACCAAGCAACAGTGTAGTCTCATCACTTTAGAGGCACAAAATACATATAGTTATTGCACACACATATGTACACATGTGCACACATACCACACAGGTTGTGGCTTCTTTGAGAAAATTCCTTTGGGTCTCATGATATGTCAGTTGTGTATGTGTGGTAAGGAGAGGAGGAGGGAGGAAGGAGGCCCTTGGTGTTCTGGGAGGAGGGTGTCCTCAGGTAGGTCACCTATACTGATGGGTGGGTTCTTTCATATTATTGCTCCACAATTGGGCCTTGAAAGGTAACTAAGTTCACAGAAGCAGCTACAAGCAGCAGTAATACAAGTAGGGTGTGTTGGATGGCAACCAACTGATTCAAAAGAATCTTCTAGATGGTATCTAAAAATGGTGTTTTAGGAGTAAATTGTGCAATGATACTGAAGTCTTCTCTCAGTCACTTATAAAAAAAGTTTTCCTGACAATATTCTGTTCTGAAAGACTTTTGTTTAAAGCTCTTAACTATAATATTAAAATAAATAAATACACAGTCCTTGCTATTAACTATCCACCTTGTACACAGAAGAAATGTCCTCTCTAGAAGGATAGGTAGAGTGTTCTATGGCCACAGTGCTGATGATATGTGAGCAGGAGTCTTGATAGTGCACCTTCTTTCCCCCACAGGTCCTGTACAACTTGTTCAAGTCTTTCTGCTTGATGAAAACCATTGAGACCATTGACATATTTGCAGGAATCGCCAACTTCTTTGTTGTAGGGATTGGTGGCGTGTTGATTGGCATCTTCCTGGGATTTATAGCAGCATTTACTACTCGGTTCACACATAACATACGGGTGATCGAGCCACTTTTTGTCTTCCTGTACAGTTATTTGTCCTATATTACAGCGGAAATGTTTCACCTTTCAGGTATCATGGCGTAAGTATTTAATTCTTTGTTAAAAGCAAATAATGATGACATTTTATTGGATTTATGTATTCTAAGTAAACATGTTAAAGTTAAATAAGTTATATAAAAAGTAGGTGTAATTACATTCTTTTTAATATTACTTTATTATTTATTTTTAATTATTTTATTATTGTTCAATTACAATTGTCTGCATTTACTCTTCACCACTTCCCCCTTCACCCCAGCCATTCCCACCTCCCTTTTCTTTATATATATATATATAATTTTTTAATTAATTAATTAATTTATTTATCTTTAGAGGGGAAGGGAAGGAGAGAGGGAAACATCAATGTATGGTTGCCTCTAGTGCATCCCCTGCTGGGAACTGGCCTGTAGGGAACTGGCTTACAACCCAGGCATGTGCCCTGACTGGGAATTGAACCACAATCCTCTGGTTCACAGACCTGCACTCAATCCACTGAGCTACACCAGCCAGGGCCCACCTCCCTTTTCTGATTCCACCCCCTCCCCTTGTTTTTGTCCATGTGACCTTTATAGTTGTTATTGAAAACTCTTCCCACTTCCCCCATCCCATTATCCCTTCCTACCTCTCCTCTGGTTACTGTCAGATTGTTCTTAATTTCAATGTCTCTGGTTATATTTTGCTTGCTTGTCTGTTTTGTTCATTAGATTCCACTTAAAGTTGAGATCCTATGGTATTTGTCTTTTACCATCTGCCTTATTACACTTAGGATAATGCTCTCCAGTTTCATTCATGCTGTTGCAAAGGGTAGGATCTCCTTTCTTTCTGTTGTATACTATTCTATTGTGTAAATGTACCATAGTTTTTTGATTCACTCATTTACTGATGGGCACTTAGGTTGCTTCCAGCACTTGGCCATTGTAAATTGTGCTGCTATGAACATTGGGATGCATAGGTTCTTATGGATTGGTGTTTCAGGGTCCTTAAGATATAATCCCAGCAGTAGAATTGCCAGGTTAAAAGGCAGTTCTATTTTCAGTTTTCTGAGAAAATTCCATACTGTTTTCCACAGTGGCTGCACCAGTCTGCAATCCCAGCAACAGTGCACTAGGGTTCCCTTTTCTCTACATTCTCACCAGCACTTGTTGATTTGTTTATGATGGCCATTCTCGCTGGTGTGAAGTGGTATCTTACTGTGGTTTTAATTTGCATCTCTCTGATGGCCAGTGATGCTGAGCAGCTTTCCATATGTCTTTGGGCCCTCTGTATGTCCTCCTTAGGGAAGTGTCTGTTCAGGTCTTTTGCCTGGTACTGGCATTAGAACAGACACATAGACCAATGGAACAGAGCAGAGAGCCCAGAATAAACTCAAATCTCTGGGTTTATTAAAATGTTAATTGATTAATCAATTAAAATATTAATTGATCTATCAATTAAAATATTAATTGATCTCTTGGTCAGTTAATATTTGACAAAGGGGAAAGAAGCATAAAGTGGAGTAAAACTAGTGTCTTCAACAAATGGTGTGAGGAGAATTGGACAACTACCTGTAAAAAAATGAAACTTGATCACCAACTTACACCATACACAAAAATTAGTTCAAGGTGGGAAAAAGACTTAAATATAAGTTGTAACACCATAAAAGTCCTAGAGGAGAACATAGGCAGGAAATCTCAGATATGTCATGCAGCAATATTTTCACTGGTATGTCTCCTAGAGCAAGGGACTTAAAAGGAAACAATAAAAAATGGAACCTCATCAAATTAAAAAGCTTCTTCATGGCTAAAGAAAACAGCATTAAAATGAAAAGAGAACCAACTGTATGGGAAAACATATTTGCCAATGAAACCTCAGACAAGAGTTTGATCTCTAAAATATATAAAGAACTCGCATGAATCCACTCCAAGAAGACAAACAACCCAATTAATTATTTTCTTTTAAGAACTAAAAATACTCTGTTTCAAAAGAAATGAAAACTCTGTTTCAAAAGAAATGATTTGATACATTTCTTACTCTGTTTGAAAGAAATGAAAACATACATCAGCTAGATTTATACTGAAGCAATTTGGTATTAAGATGGAAGACTACTTAAATTTGCCTGTTAGGTCTCATATGAAATATGGTAATGCAACTGTTGGGGTTGAATGCCAGGTATCAAGAATTTCCTGGGTTGATGTGCATTTAGTGATGTCCATGTGTGAGAACAATGCTCTAAACTTATTACAACAAGGTTGCATCACCTAAACTATATTTGAAGTTCTGGTATTTTTTATGTAAATCCATTTGAATAATCTTAGTAGTAGAAAACCTTCATTCTGGATGATAGATTTTATTTTGATAAATAGCTTAATGCCATTCATAGCAATATTTAATGAATAAGACATAAATCATGTAATTTTAGTTTAGCCTTTTAAAGAGGTATAGTTATAAAGCAGAAAATATAAAGGCAAGAAATTATTTCTTATTAAAGAGACAGTTAGTATATCATTCATTAAGTGATTCAGAAAGATGTTCTCAAAAGTTTTCACAAGTTGGCTGAAGACTTGTGGTGTTTGGATCCAGTGTTAGCCTTTGGAGGATCACTTCAAAGGAGGCTACTCATTGAGTGTGAATGTTTTTGTAGCTTCCAAAAATAATCCTAGTATACTGTTTTCACAACCAGCATAAGGTCAGTGAGAAATACTTAATGCAATACCTTTAAATATTTATATTTTGACTAACATTTATTTACAGCTTAATATATACTAGACTCTATGCAAAGGCCTGCTGTACTTTTTCAGAGTTTTGCTGTTGTAAACATATGTCTAGTTCTGGAAGTTTTCTCTTGCAGAGTTAGGTGATGCTTTGATTAAGGACTATTTTGTTTTCTGCCTCTTATCACATTTTTTTGTCAGATGCAGATGAAATTTGTGGTAGAGGAAGTCAGTGCCTCTGTACAAGGAGATGAACCCAATTGTAATGAAAGCCATAAATCGAAGAGTTGGGTGGTTTTCTGTTTCACAGAGAACCTAAATAAGGCAACATATTAATCCAGTTTCACCAGTAATGCAATGTTCAGCATCTTCCTGGTTGCTATTCATATCATTTGTATGACTTCTAGTTTCCTCATTGTTTTTTGACCAGTGTTATTGAAAGAATATGACCCCCTAATTATCAGGTTCCTAAAAAACTGGTGGGGTGGGACTTGTGTCTAGTTTCCCAGCAGCAATTTAGCAATAATTTGTGTTGACTAGAACCTTGACTATATTTCCATGAAATGCATATGTAAATGTCATAGAGCACCCACACAGTTATCTAAATATGTTTGTCAATTTCCTTGATGTTCAAGAACAGGAATTGGGATGGAGCAAGTCAGTATATTGGGGACAGTTGGAGTATTGGATGAAGTTTGTGTCCTGGTGCATCTCTGCTTAGAAATAACTGTGAGACCCAGAGGTTGGAAGGTTTGTGCTACAAGTCCTGATCTCCTATGAAGATGGGCTCATGGGTTTACTTTCTCTGGGAAATGGGAAACCAGAGAAAATAAAGCCACATATTCCTGGTAACTAGCACAGGTCATTCCCTGCTGTAGTTTGTTGTTGGATCAAAAACATGACTTTCATTTCCCACTTCAAAGTAAACATTTATTTTATAACTTAGTGTATGGAAAAGTCCTTTATCACATTTAAACTACCACTGTCATTGTACATTGTGCACTAGAACAATAAACTGACCTGTAAGACATCACAGGAGATTTAAACAGTTTTGGATCTAGAATTCTATTCACACCCATGTTGTAGTGTGTGCTGAGAAGTAGCCTCCTGTTTTCTTTTTTAATTCTTATTATTTATTTATATTTTTCTTGATATATAATTCACATATAGCATTGTGTATGTTTAAGGTATACAGTGTGTTGATTTGATACATTTCTATATTGCAGTGTGATTATCTATAAAGTTATTTTATTTATTTATTTAAATTTTTAAATTGTTTTATTTTTGTTCAATTACAATTGTCTGCATTTACCCTCCACCACTTTCCCCACCACAGCCAAACCCATCTTATTCCCTTGCTTCCACATTCTCCCCTTGGTATTGTCCATGTGACCTTTATAGTTGTTCCTGAAAACTCTTTCCACTCCCCTCCCCATTATCCCCTCCCACCTCCCCTTTAGTTACTGTCAGATTGTTCTTAATTTCAATGTCTCTGGTTATATTTTGCTCGCTTGTTTGTTTTGTCAATAAGGTGAGATCCTATGGTATTTGTCTTTTACCATCTGCCTTATTACACTTGGTATAATGCTCTCCATTTCCATCCATGCTGTTGCAAAGGGTAGGAGCTCCTTCTTTCTGCTGTGTACTATTCTATTGTGTAAATGTACCATGGTTTTTTGATTCACTCATTTACTGATGAGCACTTAGGTTGCTTCTAGCACTTGGCCATTGTAAATTGTGCTGCTATGAACATTGGGATGCATAGGTTCTTATGGATTGGTGTTTCAGGGTTCTTTTTTGTTTGTTTTTTATACTTATTTTTCTATTTTTAAAATATATTTAATTGATTATGCCATTACAGTTGTCCCATTTTACCCCCTTCGTTCCCATCCACTCTGCACACCTTCTCCCACTCACATTCCCCCCTTTAGTTCATACCCATGTGTCGTAAGTTCTTTAGCTTCTACATTTTCCATTCTACTCTTGCCCTCCCCCTGTCTATTTTCTCTGCATCATCTATGCTACTTATTCTCTGTACCTTCTCCCCCTCTCTCCTCCTCCCACTCCCCTGTTGCTAACCTTCCATGTGACCTCCATTTCTGTGACTCCACTCCTGTTTTTCATGTCTGCTTAGTTTGCTTTTGTTTTAGGTGTGGTTGTTAATAACTGTGAGTTTGTTGTCCTTTCACTGTTCACATTTTTTATCTTCTTTTTCTTAGATAAGTCCCTTTAACATTTCATATAACAAGGGCTTGGTGATAATGAACTCTTTGAACTTGACCTTATCTGAAAAGCATTTTATCTGCCCTTCCATTCTAGGATATAATCCCAGCAGTGGATTTGCTAGGTTAAAA